TATACATATACATCACCAAATTGGGGATATAGCCTCCAGTAAGCCACTACAGATATGGAAAATCCACCATGATATCATTTTTTGACCAACCCATGAATTTTCATAGCTATGTTAGTTTGTATATTACAGTATGCCCTCCGGTAAGCCAACATAGCCATGGAAATCAAATGAAATCAACATATTTAATATGTCAATCAACTATAAATGGTCTATTTTCATAGCAATGTTAGCTTAGAAGAGGGTACCTCATCAAAATGCGAGATCTGAGGTGGCGCGCCGGGGGATTGGACCCGTGCCATCGATTTACTGGAAACCATGAGTTCCTTGGAGAGTCGCAGAAAATGGGGGCTGCTTTCGCACCACAAAATGCTGGAAAATTTCATTTTGGAGGATTTCACTGGCAGGAATGGATTTCAGAAACTTCTAACAGGCGGATCAAGGTTTGTTTTACTTGGGTCCTGGAGGTTGTGACATGAACTCAAGTAGTGTCCTAGTTTTGTTGGGACCTGAGCGGACTGCCAGCCGACCGAGGAGAGGATCGTGTGCCTCCAGCCACTCAGACTGTGGGGGTGACCCCGTGATTGGCTGATTTTTTTTTGGGCTAAAAAAATCCTGGGAATTCCAGTTTTGAACATACTGTGACTAGTGACTCATTGCCCATTTTTGGTTTGAAGGTGGGGGTATAGTCGGTCACATCACGCAATCGGCACCTGGCATAGCTTGGAGATTCCTACGGTATTCTTGGGATGGATTTTTTCAAACCACCAGTCGGATGCCCGTTTGTCTCAACAGGGATGCTTCAAAATTGCCATCAAACCATGTGGAAAACCAAATCATGCCATTTCCTCAACCAAATCGAAATGATCCAAAATTTAAGGTGCAAAAAGCTGCCGTACCCTGTCAGACAGAGAGACCATCACTTTCTAGTTACGATCGCTTCACCATCAAACATATCCGATTTGCACCATCTCAAACATCCCCAAACCATGACATTGTAACTCAGCCAGATCTGCATTTCAAACATCATCTTTCAATGGACATGGCCGGTCATCATAGGAATCATAGGTTTCACATAATTATCCAGGTAAGGCCAACCCTGGATTATCAAACTCTGTTGGTTAATTACAGGGGGGTTACCCCAAAACACAGCGATGAATCACTGAATTGCTTGGGGGTCTATTGAATCTTAAGAGGTGGTGTCCCCCAGTTAGGTTTGGTTTATAACAGCTATCGGAGTTATGTCCAACTTACCTATATTGGGGCACCACCGTACGTATAGTGATGGAGGTGTCCCCATGTTCCTTCCAGGAAGATGTCCGTTGGTTTATAATCCCCTTGAACAAGTTCGTTATTTATAAACCAACCCTAGACATTGAAACTATGTTCACCACCTTAGCTAACCAACTGGGGCCCCAGCCATTATTCAATATAAGAACCATATGTGGATGGGTCAAAACATGTCAAAACCTATTAGTTTACCAGTATTTGAGGGAATAACCATCCATGGGTCAAAACCTATTGTTTTACCAATATTTTAGAGTTAATAACTATTAAGATCACCAATATTTGAGGGTTAATAATTGAATAACCATCCATAAACCATCTATTTTAGCCATATGTTTACCATCTGGTTATGACTAACAGTTCGAAAGTTGGAATCCACCATGCTATTAAGTTCGGTGAACCATCTATTTCAAGAAGGGCCATGGCTTAACCATGGCTAGCCCTGTTAGTCATCACCAGAGGGCAATCCTTTTCTCATGGCGCCAGGATCTCCAGAGCTACAGCCGCGCGCTGGACGCCTGCAGTGGAGCACGGCGTTGGGAAGAAGCCCTGGGATTGGTGCAGGACGTGGCGATGTGGCGTTGTGGCGGGTGGGAGCCGCTCCGGGGGCCAAAGAGTTTGATATGTTATGATATTATATATATTATATATACATATATTATAGCCATGGTTAAGCCATGGCCCATAGAAATATATAGATGGTTTACCTATTAAACATGGTGATTTTCCATGGCTATGTTAAATAACCAGATGGTAATAGCAATAATAGTAATAGTAATGATAGTCAATAGGAATAGTAATAATAAAAACAATAATAATATTTTTTTTTCTCGATGGTGAATATATATTATATATTATGTAACTAATAGGAATAGTAATGATAGTGAATAGGAATAGTAATATATGGATTATACATGATTATACCCCCAGTTATACCCTCTGGTTATTTAACATAGCCATGGTATAGATGGCCCATAGAAATAGATGGTTTACCTATTAAACATGTGAGATGGTTTACCTATTAAACATGGTGATTTTCCATGGCTATGTTAAATAACCAGATGGTAATAGCAATAATAGTGATTAGTAATGATAGTAAATAGTAATAGTAATAATAATGATAATGATAATAATAACAATTATATATGTATATATATCTATGCACTATAGTTTCGAAGGTGATTTCGATTGATGTTTGAACATATCCATAGACTTTAATAATGATTTTGATGGATATTATATTTTCCCCGGGATTGTGCTCAAATCATACTCCACGGTGATGTTGTTTGATTTTTGTTGCAGTTGTAAGCTATACTCATCATACTTCACAGTGTTTTTTTTCGTTTTGTTGGAGGGGACCGATTTTTTTTGGAGGTCCCACCTCCCATTTTTTTCATACCCCCCAGTCTTGTTTTCTTCTTGGGAACTGGGGTGAAACTTCAGTGAACCATGGTGACCTTGATTGATATTTTGGTGATGTTGACTCTTTATTGGGGTCATTATTTTATTTTACGCGGAGCTGGGTTGCAGAAGAAATAGAGGCTGTGCTCCTTTTGTTTGTTGTTCTGGGTGGTTCTGGGTGGTAGATTTCCCCAACTGGGTTGAACAATATTTCGAGCAGCGGAACTAGAACTGCCGGTGTGAAACAGCGCTGGAGAATTGTTGGGCATTATGCGTGACCTCTCTCTCTCTCTCTCTCTCCCTCTCTCTCTTTTGCACGGTGCTAAAAGCAGCTTCATTAAAGATTCATGGGCATTCAGCCCACTGAAATGTGTGTGTGTGTGTGCGTTTTTTTGAATAATGTTTTTCCTATAAATAGATCGTTAAGATTCACTCTTATGAAGGTGGTTGGCTAGACTTGGCTAACCAGCTAGGATCGGCTGGCCCTGGGGCTACTGAATCGCCGACAAGGACCTACTGCAGCAGAAGCTGCTGCCAGATCTTCAGACTGTGACGGGAGTGGCCAGCGTCTGCAGCCATGCCGGTGAATGGTGTGGAAGCTCAGTGGGCCCGTGGATTTCTTGATAGGATGGACATTCAGAACTTTGACCCAGGAGCTACCCTTTGGTAAACAAACATAGCTATTGAAAATGGCCCATTTATAGTGGATTTTCCCATTAAAAATGATGATTTTCCATGGCTATGTTAAATAACCAGAGGGTAAACAAAATGTAAAGTGCATGAGATAAAGTTGTTCTTCATTGCACAGGGTGGGTCTTGCAGTTACCGAGCATAAAGGGGTTGCTTTTGGCGTAAGCCCTCCACGGGTATCAGTCGAGGCAATTGGCCCTAGCCTTTGCCAACGAACAGCGCGACCAACGCCTGCTACCTGATGGGCTGCTCTTTGGCCCGGGGGCACGGAGTAAAAAAAAACAAACAGAACCGCGGGTTGGGTGGCCACGGTTGCAGTAGGAACTCAGTGAACATTGGTTGCATTTCCTCACCCGAAGGTTTAAAATCCTGGTTTCTTGACAGTTCGCATTGCTCAAGATATCGAACGTTTTGCTATAGATTTTCCTTTAGACCAACCCCTATTAAAATCTATTAAATATGATTCCGGGGCGGGTCCAATAGCCATGGCCCTGTTCGTGTTTTTTGGCTGCGACAAACCATCCAAGTCCCTGTGAGGCACCTTGCTCCTGGCTTGCGAGAAAGGGTTGAACTGGGAGCTTGCCCTTGAGCTCCTTGCAGACATGTCAGACACCTCAGTGACACCTTAGTGAGCCATGGAAGTCGAACATGAAGTGAATGGGGTTCCCCATCGCTGGGCACGAAAGTCCGCTAGATCTGGGACAAAAGTTGTGTAACATGTTAAACGCACAGATGCGCACGTGTATCAATGTATATATATATATATTATACGTATACATATACATACACACACGCATATATATATATATATACACATGGTATCATACTATATTAATTTATATTAATATAGAGGTCCAGTTTTGTGTTTGGCAGGCACCTGGTGAACAGGCACCATTTCTTGTGTTTGTGTGCATTTGATGCATATACTCACGCATCCCAATTGTTGATAGTTGTTGGGGGTTGCCCACCCAGCGTTTCGCAACGCCATATCCTATGCTTATCAGCCCTTTCTGAAATGCAATGTTTCGGAAGTGTTCTTGTTGCAAAGGCACATCCAATGAAGGGTTCAACAGGTCTCGGCGCTTGCAAGTAGCTTCGCTGCGCGTAGTTGCTCCAAAGAAAGCAGTTGAAGGTCATGTGTTTTTCGATTTCGTCGAATCAATTCGAACCAATGAGTATTGAAATATTTGCCATTTGCATCAATTTACAATGATAGTGGCTCCCAAGCTTGAGATGTTAGACATTGCCAGACATCTTTCCCAATGCACGCCTTTCCATTCTGCAGGGAAAGGTCCAGTGTTCCACTGGATCCCATTAGTTCTGCCCTTGCGGGGCGCCTCAAGTGCGGCGAGTGGGAGTCTTCGGGTTTCTTGACGTGGGGGAACAGTCGAAGACCTTAAATGTGGTGACCAATTTTGATAAATTTTGTAGGTTTGGAAAAGCAGGGGTTAAACCCCTGAGTTTACTGTCTACAGAGTCTACAGAGTCTACAGAGTCTACTGATGTCTACTGATGTCTACTGATGTCTACTGTAGATCTACCCGGAATCCAACCCAGCCACGCCAGGCCATACGAGCGTGTGCCACCCGGAATTCCTGGGACTTGGCCTTGTGGGTCTTGGCAAAATGCCGGGGCGCTCAGGGCCCTTCTCATTTGGAGGCTACGACTACAGCTCCAAGGAGCTAGAACGATAGTGATATCCTTGTTGGTGCTTTCGATCCATCATGAAGCTCAATTCAAGTCGGCTCTTTTACTTGAGGAAAGGCACACCCTGCCCCTCGGCGAACCAGATGGTTTGCCTCTGGAAGATTGGGATGACACTCACCCAGCCCTCCAAGTATTCCCTTGAAATCTATCTTTGGATGGTAAAACCATGGTTCCCTACAACATCCCTCATAAAGTCAATCCATTGAGTAGCCAAATATCACCACTAACATTTGAATGGTTAAAACCCACAACAAACATATGGATTATCAGGGTTAACCCCCAATATTTGATGGTCAACCTCCGATTTTTCATGGTGAAAACCCAAATTTTAGATGGTAAAACTCTAAAATTCATCACCCGCAGGCAGTGCGGGAGGTGATCCCGGACCTCGTGCCTTGCTGGCGGCGGTGGATGCAGTGGAGGCACTTTTTTTCCATGGAAAAGTTGGATTTTGACCATGAAAAAATGATGAACACATGGTGGTTTAACCAACCAAAATTGGGATTTAACCATGCAAAAATGATAGACACATGGTGGTTCAACCAGCAAACATCTGGTGAATCTGAAAATGATTGGGATTTAATCATGAAGAATGGTAAGCAATGGTAGTTTGACTGTGTTTGACTATTCAACGTGGGAATGTAAGCAATGAAGAATGGACATGGGTTTGTCGTGTTTTGTCATGTTTTGTCCAGAAATGGGGTATACGCCCCAATGGTCATTAATTGATGGGGAATATGATGGTTTATTAGACCATTGTTTTTTTTGGTACCTTATTTTCAGACAAACCCTAACAAGAGATTGACGGATAGATCATGATAGATCGATAGACGTGAACAAGCACCCGCAAAAACAGAGTTCAGCATGTGTACCAGTGGAATTGCTATTCTCACAATTCTATGTTTACAAGACTACTAGTGCCACATCATTTGGAGGTAGATCTACGTTGTTGGTTCTGTCCCCAGTTTTGTCGGAGATGAGGTGTCCACCCCCAAAAAATCAGATCTCAGGGGTGGTTTTCAATCCAGAAGCTGCACGAAAACACGGTAGAGTTGTGTCATAAACCCATGATCTCCTGTCATTCTATATCATTCCATATAAAATCAACTCGTAAACCCGAATTTTCTCCAATTGTTTGGCAAGATTTTTAGAAATATAACAGCTGGTTGTTCCATTGTGTGGCACTTTTACTTTATCCATATAAGATCAACTGGTTGTTCCATGGTTTCGAGGCTGGCGGCTCCGCTTCCCCAGAGCTCTTTGAAGAGCTCTGCCGCAGAGCGGCGCAGAGGCGCTATGACACCGGGGTCGGTGACATACACTGTGTGGTGTCTTTAAACAGATCTGATTCTAGATTCATTCTACCCTCTGGTAAACATACAAAAAACTATGGAACATCACCATTTTTGATGGGTAAATCAACTATAAATGTCAATTTTCAATAGTTATGATGTTAGTTTACCAGAGGGTAGATTCTATCTGATTCTGAAATGCTAAATTCTATATATCCCTCGGGACTCCGATGCAGCTAATTCCAGTGATTTAAGGTTTATGAGTTTATGATCAAAATTACTGTTTTGTTTTTTGGATTGAACCCAAAAAACGACTCAAATGCCTGAAAATCATGTTGTAAGAGGATGTAAGGAGGCACTGAATATGAAATATGTAATTCACAGTGTTTCACCCACACCTCAGCCATTTCTGTTCACTTTCCCTTTCCTTACCGCTGCACCTATGTGCTTTCTAGGAGGACCAGTATTAATTATTTGATATGTTTGGGTGCATGGTGCATGCATGGACCATCATTTTTGACACATTTTGACAATGTGGGATTGAGAGCATATGTTTAGCAAAATCCTGCGACCCAAATTACCCGCACAACGCCCGCAAAAATCTCGCAAACGCGCGCAAAAACTGTCAAACACGATGCATTTTTGACCATGTTTGAAGGAAAATGAGTTCAATCGCTCTCACGCCCATTCTGTTTGTTTGAATTTACCAATTAAGCAGCACGGCTTGCAACCAAGGACTGAACCGCTATTATGGATTGATGGTTTCCTTATGGGGCAATCACGATGACCACAACCTGTTTCTCCATGTTTCTCCAAAGATCGCCTTGTTATGCCTTGTTTTCATTTTATAACTTCAAATCGCCGCGTTTTTCTATGAAACGCCTCATTACCTTAAACGCCTGGATTTTTCCATGCAATGGAAACTTGAGGTCTGTATCTGTTGGTGATTTTATTGATGTGAAACATGTTTAAGCGTTTAAAATAACCACGGTTTCCCATTGAAAAATCCAACGATATGGAAGAAACCACTCCAAACTGGTCTTCGCCCTGGGCCGCCCTCCGCCGCCAGCTCGTTGTTCTCCTAACGCTGCTCGAGAAGCTGAGCAAAAAGTCGCGTCGCGAGAAGATCGCTGGAAGTTGGTGAAATTGGGTGATTTTCATGGTGATTCAATTCAATGATGATTTTATGGTATTTTAATAGGATGTGTATAACAATTTCGCGGGTAATTATTTATGGCATGTCATATGATAATATAATATATATATATAATTATATATGGGATTATAGTAAAAAATTATCAATGGAAGATCCATATATGAGGTTTCCTGAAATGGTAAATCGTCCGAGTCATGGATTGCCATTTTAGTATTGAAGCCTATGGTGACTTGTCGGTCCCCGGTTTCCATATACTATGGAGATCTATGGAGATTTTTCGGACCTTCCACAATTTTGACTATTCGTTTTTAGGTGAATCGGATGATCAACTGAAAAGCGGGCGATTTCTCCATTGCTAGGAATATCAGAGATCAGGTGCAAGGTAAGATTCCCTAGTCTTGAGTTTTACAAGCCTTACGGCCTGTTTCTCCGCAGCTGCATGAGATCCATCGGTAGACAAAAGTCGTGCCGTGGCATTGCAGGGGAGGTCATGGACGATGGGCCGTCTATAGAGGTCCAGAAAACGGCGGCGACGGCAGGAGATTTTTGGGAACTCCACAAGCAGTTGGCCAATTGCCACTTGACATCGGGACATGATTTCCGGGTCCTGAAATGTCCCGAAACTGATGATTTGAGGTGCCCTTGCCGGCAGTGCCTTCAGTGCCGCTGCCGAGGCTATGTGGCCGACATTTCACGACTCAAAGGTGACCGAGTTCCCGAGAAAGCCAGCGACAAAGCCAGTGAGAAGCTGGGTGAAACAGCCAGTGAAAGTGTCGGTGGATCATGGTGGATCTGGTGCTGGCAGTGCTGGGTGAAAATTTGGGGGTGACATTTCCAGACATCTTTTTACCCTCCTATGGACTCCTACAGTGGAAATCCTGCACCCGTTGATGGTTTATCCCATTCATAGGGTTTCAACCATCCCAAATTGGTGGTGCAGGATTTCGCAACCATCCACAGTATGGATGTTTCATTTCCCATTGGACCTGACAGGATCCAAAAAACCGTGTGGGGGTGGGCCTTTCTTCGGGGTCAAATTATAACCACATCACTGCAATGTCACTGGATGATTAGGATTGGGGTAACTATCCAAAAAATAGCCTTATTTCAGGTTAGTGAATTAATTTACCCATATATACCTGGACTTCCAAAAGCTGCATTTTTTTTGGTCTGGACTGAAAAGTAGTGAGCGACCAAAAATCGAACAATTACTGAATTTGCCCTCTGTCAGTCACATTTGGAAGGACCAAAAATATGACACAAAATGACGCAGAAAAGACGCGAAAGACCAACTTTTTGACACCAAAACTGTGTCATTGAATCCATCACTCTTAGCCCAAAAGTGATTTTTAGGCCCGCACCCGAAAATCCACAAAGATCGAAAATTATGCGGCTGTAGAAGATTAAATACACATATATACATATATAGAATTAATATTCTCAATTGGTGCCTGGTGACCTATTCTCATCTCAGCTTGATGAACTATTCTCATTTCTCCAGGTATATCATCAACATGTATAGAATGATCATTTGAAGTGATGATGATTCTTTTCCACCATGAATCATAACCATATACCTTTGCCATCTTTCGTTCACCACCCAGGCCGCTACCGGTGCAAAGGGAACGTTCCATGACTTCTATCCCGTCTATACAGTCTGTAGCACCCAGGACTAAAACGCCCCAGCTTGCTGGCGTTTCACCAAAATGATGGCGTTTCAACATGTGCTCCAACCATCATTTGATGCCCAAAAATGGTGGTTTTTCAAGGCAGCAAAGCTGAAGAAATGGGATTTAGGTGGATGAAAAGCAATGACACGTGACTTTTAGAATTGCGGTTTCACATGGTTTCACCAATGGAATCAATGGGGATTTGACAGAGGAATCATGGTCCAAGGGATTCCAAGGGTGATAAAGCACAGAATTTCGCCTGGTTATGGAATAACCATCGCCATTCAGTCCAGGATGTCTTACCGGACTTCATCCCCCATCTTTTTCAGGGCAACTGTATCCAATGATCCAGTCTTTTAATCCAGTTTCTAATGAAACATCTTTTCCGAAGTGGCAGTTCAGAAGAGCACATGAAAATGCCTTTCGGCATACGATTGAACAAATCATCATACAAACACATTACAAATCATACAAATCATCGTTTTTCTTCGCATTTTCTCCACATTTTTGGTAGATCAAACCACCAATGAGGGCCCATGAGGGCCCCAGGCCCCGGTCAGCTCGTCCGTTTCTCCAGGAGCCCCCGCCCCACCGAAGCGGCGACCGCTGTGGGAGGTGGCTTGGCGCCGCCCAAACGCCGCGAGTCGCGTAAAGAGACCATCCGAGATAGGCGCGGGGGATGGAAAAATGGGAAGGTTACCCTCTGGTTATGTCAAAATAGCTATTGAAAATGGCCATAGAAATAGTGGATTTTCCCATTGAAAATGGTGGATCTTTCCATAGTTATGTTAAATTACCAGAGGGTAAGCCGTAGTATGGCTCCCTGAAATGACTAAGCTCACTTGTCTGGTTGACAAGTTGACAAAGAATTTTGGCCGAGAATTTGATGATACTAAGGGAAAGCGGGATTTTACTTAAACAGAAGTTAGAGAAGAAGGGTGAGAATTGCGAGTGACACAGTGATTTCATGTTCTTTCTACCAACACGAATCTTCATGCATGGATCTCTTAGCTGATGCATGGTGCAAATAAACAAGAGTGACCTTCACATGGGCAGACCAAGCCCCATAAGTGGTGGGTCCTGTATGGTACACCAGGATGGTGGCACCTGGAGCCAAACATCGCTGGGAAATCCCCTGGTTTTTAGCATCCAAAGGGGCAAAACGTCGAGCAAGGGCTGTTCCATTGCCATGTTTAATTGCCAGAGGCTATCTTTGGACCATTTTGGACCGTTCCATTTACATGTGACAATCATATAGAGTTCCGATCCGGAGAGCCACCCAAAAGTCGGATTCGAGTCGGTTTCGGGTTTCGGGTCTCGGGTTTCGGGTTTCGTCGATTGAAACCAACTTTCGCTGTCGGTTTCGGGTTTCGATCGGTCCTGGGGAAGGTAAGTCTTCACAGTCGGTTTCGGGTTTCGGGTTTCGGGTTTCGGGTTTCGGGTTTCGGGTTTCGGTCGGCCCTGGGGAAGATGGGGAAGGTAAGTCTTCAGAGACGGTTTCGGGTTTCGGGTTTCGGGTTTCGCAGTTCGAAACCAACTTTAACAGTCGGTTTCGGGTTTCGGGTTTCGGGTTTCGATGGTCGAAACCAACTCTGCAGACCTCTCTCCGGATCACGTCTCATCATATATATCATATATATATATATAGTATATATATATATAGATATAGATATTGCCAGATAGACATGACATGCGACATGGAGCGAACTCACTTGTAACCCAAGCATTAGTTGATGGACGACCGCTCGGGGCTCATGATCCATACGGAAGCCTGGCAGGAGAGACAAATCTCTCCAGACACTGCGCAGTCTGCAAGGTTCACAAGGGTTGGGCAGCTGATTTTAGTTTCGGAGAGGCTTGGAAGGAGCACCCACTCTCCTAAGATCCAGGGGGTACCCTCAAAATCACGGGCAATTTTCTTGGTTCAGAGGTGGATGGTTGGATCATTTCATGGAATTACCACCCCTTTAACGAAACGTGTTCCAAAAACTCGAACACGCCGACAAAGCACCGGTGTTCTGGGCAGGCTGTGATCATCTTGTGATTTCCCTTTTCAGCCATGGGATCCACAGCACCAAGAATTCACCGCAGATTTTGCTCCGGGCTCTGGAGCATGATCTTCCAGGCATAATGGCGCAATACTGTAGATGGTCTATCCATGTCTATCCCACTACAATAGTTATCATAGTTATCAACTGGTGCAGGATTTCTTCCATCCACAGTACAGCAAGTCTCACAAACAATGCACTTGCTAAAAGAGCTGATCTTCAGAGAAAACGGAAGACTGATGTGAAACCACCATCTTTGGTTTAAACAAAAACATCCTCGGAGTCAACTTGTTGGTGACATTTGAAGATTTTCACGGTATTTGGATGGCAACTTATCCCATCTTATCCCTTAAATTTATTTTTTCAGTTGCCCGGTTTCAAAAAGCCCTGGACATTGCGGGATAGTGCGATGTCAGGTTTGCCCCGCGACCCTGAAGCCTCCATTACGGCCATGGAGCTAACTCCTTACCAGCGGCCTGGCATCGACTGGGGTGGTCCCAAGGGCCGCCATGGTTTCACCATCCCCCACGCGCTAAAATCACCATGTTTACCCTCTGGTGATTTAACATATCTATGGAACATCACCATTTAGATCCATTTAGTTCGTGAATTTTCCCATGAAAAATGGTGATTTTCAATAGTTATGTTAGTTACGTTAGTTTACCAGAAGGTATCATTCGTATTGTAGCTTCATGGCATTGGCTTTCCCACATGAATAATGATGTAATAATGATATATCAAGATGCCTGGGTGACTTCTGAAAAAACGATGACGCAACATGATGGTGTTGTAACTTGATAGTTTTGCCCGGGCTGTTTGAAGCCAAGATGGGTTGATGACTGTTGCTGAATCCCAGGTGCTGGGCGGATTCTCATACAAATACAAAGGCTGTGCCAAAATGGACGCGAGGAGCGGTTTTCCGAAAAAACACATGGCTTTTCCTTGAAAGTTGGCGCTAATGTATGTTGTTTTTTTGTTGGCCCCCCTCCACCAAGAAAGGGAAGAGTTTTTCCTGTAAAGCGTCACGAATTTCATTTTGCTACACAACGTCCATTGTTTTTGCTTTGTTTTTTGGCCAAAGTCAGGGATGTGCCGTTTCGGTTTCGGAGCAAGTTCCAGAGTCTGGGTTTCCAGATGTTTCCAGCTGGGAAATCCGCTAAGTCTATCACTTCTACTTCCATGTGCATATGTAATATCTTTATATATTTGTATAGCACCGACGAAAAGATAGAAAAGGAAGACATCACTATTCTAGTAGGATTTTGTTTTTCTACCCTCTGGTAAACTAACATAGCTATTGAACATGGCAATTTATAGTGGATTTACCCATTGAAAATAGTGATTTTCCATAGCTATGTTAGTTTACCAGAGGGTACCCTTCTTTTGTGGTGCGGTGATTTCACACCGGACCTTGTCGACCGTTTTTTTTTCCGCGCAGGAAGGACCAAGGAGTTATCGATCACTCCAAGGTCCACCAAACAGCACCTTGTTGGTCAATGGTGGCGCTGATATGGAATTTGTTCAGTGGCTTTTCCTCATGTGTGATATGCGTGTTATACGGTATATGATTATATCATTACTAATCATTACATACCAGTACTGTATATATATATATATTATATGCATGACTAATTAATTATATGATTAAATTGTCATGTATCTATATTCTATGTATCACACACACACACCTACATATATATATACCATTGTCTATACATAATTATGCATTGTGATTCTTTGTTTTTCGTCCGATTTTTGGCGTTTCTTTTGGGATCTCGAGGCCGGCCATCAGTCACGAAACGGAGGAGCTCCCCGAGAGGAGCTATGTGTTGCATCCCGGGGGCAGCTTCCGAACGGGCTGGAACTTGTCCATGGCCGCCTGTGTCCTCTATGACCCATGGCAGTGATGGGGTGGAGATGATGGAGGTTTCCAGGTAGCCTCTGGTTATGTCAAAATAGCTATTGAAAATGACCATAGAAATAGTGGATTTTCCCATTGAAAATTGTGATTTTCTATAGTTATGTTAGTTTACCAGAGGGTAGCTCCGAGGCCAGGTGCAATGCTTCGTCTTTGCCAAATGGTGATCTAAAACCCAGCTTCAAAAACGACAATTTTTCGCCATTTTTTGGGTGGAATTCTCAGGAGGGCGGGTTTACTCCCGAATGGTCCCTGGGTTGTCGTTTTACCATCACCATTTTGTTTCTTTGGTCCACGCCACCACATCCTTTGGTCCTCTGAGTCTTTTGGTCACAGGCCGTCCACTAAACCAACAATCCGAGATTTCTGTTGGCATAAACATTCTACCTTGTAAGGATTTATTGACTGGATAGAGCAGCAGATTTTCACCGGTTCTTTGATGTTCTTTGGTCCGGTTCCGTCTGTAGGGTACGGAGAGTAAGAGACATGGAATCCGACATTGTTTTGAGATTTTTCAAGAGAACAGACTCAAAACGCAAAAAAACCCACATACTCTTAAACCCAACTATCATCATTATGACATGGGTTTGAAGATTGTTCAATAGTATTCTTGATTAAGCCATCGTTTCCAAGATGGACATCACCATCTTTTCCAGGTGTCCAACTTTTCTATCTCCGGTGCCACAATGCCCTTGGGTGTAAATGTGGCAATGGAGAATCCAACATGTACATGGGCCTCTCGCATGAACAACTCCATTTATAGAGAATTTCCAAGTGTCATGTTGATTGCTAGAGGGTAGAAAGAGCATACACCGTCTTATTATCTCTATGAAACCACACACGTCCGATTATTGTCCCATTATTTATCCCTATAAAACCACCACGGAGCCACTATTTATCTGGTATATCGGTATGTCCATTAATTTCACATTATTATCCCATCTAGATCCACCCATCTCCCAGTATTGTCCCATTTAGATCACCATTGAAACCTCCACAAACCTTGAATCTTCGTGGGTCCTTTGAAGATCATCACCATCCGGCCGACCTTGACTCACCATCGAAGCCTCCATCAAAAAACCCATGATGACTACTACCCTCCGGTAATGACTAACATATATAGCATTATATAGCTATTGAAAATAAAGATCTATAGTTGATTTACCCATTTAAAAATTGTGATTTTCCAGTTCGCTTTTTCCAGGTTTACCAGATCATTTTCCGGCATTTTATAAAATCATTGAGTTCAGCATTTTCCCAGCAATTTTCCCAAGGACTTGCTGGTGATCCCGCTGAACGCCTATGACGTCCCGCAGAGTCACCTGAAACCCGAAACGGGTCAAGTGGGAAGACCATTGAGGGTTTAAAGCAACGAATATGGGAAGAATCTGATGGTGATTGAGCCTTGCAAAAGCATGGTGAATGGTGATTTTTCCTGGTGATTGAACCAAACCAATGATACTTAAGATGGAAGTTTAACAGGGAAAACATGTGATTCAGAAAAAAGGGGGATTTGAAGGGCACAACTTATGCTGTAACCAAAAAGAGTGTCTTTTTTGGTGCATCTCCCATTGATATCCCAGGAATTTTAGAAATGTCCCAGGAATTCTGGGGTTAGGGATCCACCGACAATTTCGCCCACCTCGGAAGGGACGACCGGAAGGGACGACATGGTGGGATAATCTATCATACCTTGGCTAATCAAATCTACATCATCTATCTATATCTATATCTATATCTATATCTATATCTATATCTATCTATCTATCTATCTATCTATCTCCATGTTTGGTTGGGATTGCCACAGATATTTCTGATGGTCACCACTCTTTTT